GGATGTCGTGGGACATGTATGTTGCCTTGTGGGGAATGGCTTGTATTATATTCCTCAACTCAGAGATCGGAGCAACCAGCTTCCTGGTTCTATCATGGTTTCATATGAATCATGATCACCTCTGAACGGAAGCTGATGAACAGTCAAAAATGTTATCATATCAACAATAGATTCCACGTAGTACTGGTTCCAAGCCAACTGATATGCGATTAGTTGCATCACGCATCTGTCTATTTCTCCAAATCATCTCACATGTGATATGTTTTTTTGAAGTGGCATGTCTGTGCAATCCTTTATTTGTTTCCAACGCATGCTTCCAGTCACAAAATCCTTTGGCAGCAAATGCTGAATCTGATTAGACAGGCTTATTTTGTTTTAAAAAACAATGTCTGATATTCATTTTGCTCATTGTTTATAAGTTTGTCATTGCTAAAGTGGCTACAGGTTAACATTATGTTACATTACTGGCTAAGTAAACTGGCCAAAACTCGAATCTATCTATCAGCCTTGGAGTAGAAGACCTTCAGCTTGTCTCACCTCTGAAGGTGTTATGAGGCCCAAGAGAGAAAGTGTCCACTAAGTACACAACAAGAAAACAATCCAGACAAAACCATTAGCATCATGCTAGCATTGCCGTGATATGCTCGACAGCAATGCTGACAGTTAGCCAGCTAGCGATAACAACATTTGCCGAACACATCCATAATATTAGCAAGTAAGCTAACGTTATCATGCTACTGTAGCTGTCACTAATGAAAATAGACATGTAACATTATGAACCATCAAGTTACTGACCCATGGAGGAGAAGAAAGACCAGTTCTGAGTCCAGCTGGACCCTTAAGCAGCTTGTAGGGTTCTCCTTTCAGTAAAGCCAGACCAGTATTGGCTCCACGGTCAGACTGGGAAAGAAATTAGGACTGCGGTTGCACAAATGACACTGACTGTTTAAGGTTTTTGTATAGATCTGAACCCACAAGGCAGAACACAGAGTAGTGATGAAAACAACAAGTCTTTTATTGTAGTTTAAGTGAAAGGTTTGGGATGGGGCTGGAGATGACAGCGAGGGGGCTGTAGACAGGCTGGCAGAATAATGATGGGATGGGCTCACAGACAGGAATCCACAGAGCTGGGCAGGCAAACAAAATCCAAGCTGGCAAGACGAGACAGGTGCTGAGCGTGGCAGCTGGCAGGATAGCAGGAGTATGGATCTGAAGCACAGGAATAACAGGATAACAAAAAGTCCAGAAAGACAGAGAAAAGATAATGAATAGAACTTGGCCGTAGCGTTAGAACCACATGAAGAGACGGAACAATCTGGGTGAAGAATGATGAGTTGAACAGGTCCCTCATACTGCAGCTGGTTGTGGAGTTGATGAGAAGCAGGTGAGTATGGAGACTGGAGGGAGCAGGATCCAGGAAGCCACGCCCAGCTGACACACACACACACACACACACACACACACACACACACACACACACACACACACACAAAGGGGCATAGTTTACAAACTGACACACACACACACACACACACACACACACACACACACACACACACACAAATGGGCATAGTTTACAAACTGGGGACAAACAAACATGAGGTAGGGGAGAACAGCACAAGAGGGAAAGAAAAAGACCACAAGGTCCAAATCCTAACAGACTGAGCCAATAAAAACACTGAAGAAGCCAGTGAAGACAGTGATAGAGCTGGCAAAAACTTAAAATAAAACTTAAATAAAACTTTCTGGATGTTTTGACAGGCCATCATCCGACTGGGATTTGAGCTAGTAGTCCTCATATCCAATCCAAATGTGCGCTGGTCTGATCGCTTTCTTTTTCAGAGCCTTTTTAGATGAAAAAGTGGTATCTTCAGTGGAGGAAATTCTGGAAGGTCACTGTCATCTGAACTCTGTCGCTTTCCCCTCAAATGCAGGAACATGCACACGCTCCCAGACCGGCAACCAAAACAAAGAACAAAGAAACTCAAATTACAACACACACAGAGGGAGGGTGACTTTGTTCTGTGCTTGGGACATCATTGCTCCACTATATCTTTACATAGAGAGTAGTTGTTAACGTATGTATTATTATTTAGAACCTCACTTACAGAAGATTTAAACATCAACATGCTGTCATGGGTAATAAATGGGGGTTTTAGTTGTTAACAAATATTTTCATAAGCATTGTCATTACAACTACATTATAGTGTATTATAGCGCTGGGTAGCCCTTCATGTGTTAATTAAGACTCATGTGAACTTAAAAAAAGCTTGAGCAGTGTTAGTCTATGAGGCATCAGCAACGTGGTGAAGGTCCATATGCTTGCAGTATAGGCACAGCCAGCTAATGCTAGCTGAGTTTAGGCTGTAGTTTTTATGGTTCAGTGCTAAAGCTCCAGGGCATTTTGTCTCCATCCTGCCATCCTCCCATCAGCAGTAAAAGCTCAACATTTACAGGACACAGAGCAAAGGGGGAATGCAGTGAGCTACAAGGCAACAGCTACACACACAGATTACCTGCAAATCCCACCCAGGGGGACGGTAGAGCAGCCATGTTAGAGTTAAGGTAATAAGTAATTTACCAGGAATGCGTGGATTACTCTGGGCTATATGCAGCAGTCTGCAAGGGTCCATGCATGCAGACATGGAAACCATACATTGGCCTTAGAACTGTAACCACACCAAGCCAGTACACTAGGTAATGTTAGGGAAAATTTCTTATCATCGGTGGTGGAGAAAGAGTGCTGGTGTCCAGGATATCTTATGCTGAGGATTTTTATTGAAGCTTGATCAAGAACGGAGGAATCATCAATACAGACTTTTGTGCATAATGTCACCTCAATTCTGAAGCAGGAACCACTGAGGATAGTCTTTATACACAAGAAGAGGGAGGAGAGGGATGTGTGAATATACTATTGGTTCATTAACCATAAACAAGGAAACTTGTTTCCTTGACTATACACACCCAGGTGCTAACTCTTAGAACACCCAGCCACTTGTTACTGACCATCCAAGGTCTTCTGTTATCAACCATGGCACCAGCAGTGTCAGCAGAAAACCACAGCTGCATCTGGAGGAGCCACCTGAGTGTCTCAAGGCCTGTAAGATTTAATGCAGCAGCTGTGGCACAGTGACCTAGGGCCTCACAGTGACCTTTCACCCTGAGTCAGTCACTCATTTGGTGGACAGGAGAAAATTCCATCACAGGTGGTGTTAAATGTGCGTGGACCGCCAGGGAGCAGGTAGTCCACATAAGGTCAGAGAGGTTGAGGAAGTCATAATAATGATTGTGCCAAATGACAAAGGTCCTAATGTGAGGGCCTGACTGTCTGCAGCTTAAACCTGGATGGAAAAGGGACAATCAGAAAAAGGTTTGAAATATAAGGTGGTGTGGCCCTTTAATGCTGCATTAGAAAACTTGTTAAATCTGAACTAATCAATATTTTTGTATTAAAATTGATTAATTATATATGATGTGGAAGGCTGCTGAATTTTCCAAGTGTATTTTTGTGTCTCAAATTGAAGTGTACTGATACGACCAGTCAGGGTGGAGAACATGCCTAGTTCATTAGCTAACTCAAAGATTGAAGGTAAATATAAAATAAAGGTAGATGTCCATGTCTTTATTGATTATAAAGCAGATCTATTGTCACGGTTAGGCCATGACTCTTGTTTGTTTTCCTGTTTCCCCTGTGTGTCTGTCTGTTTGTCTGTCTGTCTGTCTGTCTGTCTGTCTGTGTGTGTGTGGCGTGGGCTCCTGCTTCACCACCTCACCTGCCTCCAATAAACTCATCAAGCTCAACAGTATAAGAAGCCTGGCACTCCCTCCACTCATTGCCAGATTGTTCAGCCTATCGCAGTGGTAACAACTCTCTTGGCCCTGCTAGTCTTTGTACTGAAGTCTATTCAGGTGTGTTTTCCTCATGCCAGCCAACATTAATTTGTATCTCTGTGTCTCCAGGAACCCCTCCAGCCCTCAGCCTCTGTCCACCTGCTCCCCCACACCACATCCGCTCTGAACCCAGGCCGGCTGCTCTGCTCCGCTTCAGCTACAGTCCAGGATACTGAACAGCCACCCAACCTCTACACCTATCTCTACAACCATTCTACCTATCACAATAAATCCACGACTTTTTGCTACCGACTGGTCATGTGTTCTGCCTTTGGGTCCAACAGAAAACCGAACCGTAACATCTAGGTTCTATATTAATACTGTGAAAGTATCAAAGCCTCAGTCCACAGAGAAATGCACACAGCCTGTATTCAGAAACTGAGCCTTAAAACCAGCCGTCAGGACTTCTGGAACTTTGTGATGTCACAACAAACCGATCACCACCCTCAGCCATGCCCCAAGCCCCACCCACCCGGATCCACCATCCAACCTTGCAGGATTTAGTTTCTCTGAGTGTTTAGCTGAAATGTGCTATACTTTTATTGGATCACTCAGAATACAGCCAATCAGAAGAGAGGCTCAGAGCCTCCTCTCTTCTGATTGGCCCACTGACCTGTTGTTACTAGAGCTCCAGAGGGAAGCCTGAGAGAGGACACGTAAAACTACACTGAGATGGTTTTTGGTTTTAAAACCACAAATATCAACACTTCAAATAAAACACAGAGAAGAGGAAAACGTGGAGCTTTCACTGTTAAACACTCATGATTTGATTGCTATTCACACCATTAGCAAATGTACGCACCTGCATGCATTTGATGACGTGTGTGTTTGATGGCATCTGATAATTGATAACAGTAACCATTAAGCTCGTTGTTAACATTAGTTTGGTGTAGAAATAACCTCTACCTCTCTGTGTAGTCTAGAGAATTACTCATCCAGACTCATATGCTATTAGGCTCACTGGGAGTGTGATGTCAAAAGTGTGAGGCCAATTGCAGCTGGGGTCAGGCACCAAAGAAGGCTTGGTGTTTACATTTAATGACATCAAAATCTAATGACAGACACACGGACAGTGATTTATCTATTTATAGTTTATAGATTATTTACGTTCTTCACATACAAAAACTAAACCAGCGTATTTTTACACTGTTGCTCTAGAAACTGATGAAATGAATGAATGTGTTCTGATTGGCCACTCTGATGTCATAACACTTCTGTTATGACATCTTGTTGTTATAAACGCATAACAAAACACAAATACTGCATTCTACACAGTCACCATGACTACTATAACATGATCAGCTGATCCTAGAGGTGTGCAAGATAATTAACCTAAATATCAAATACTGGTTGACGTTTGTCAGACTGCTCTAGCTCGCTCAGTGGTTCTTGCTGTACAGTAGATTATAAAAATGCAGTATGATATTATATATAATAAAACCACATTAGTCCAGACAGTGTTGGTATCATGTGCAATGACGTGTTGTGTATGGACACAGTTAGTAGGCTATTGGTTACTGAGAGAAAAATTGTCAGATGGTTCAAACATAAATAATCACAATGTTCACAAAAACAATGACATGTGCAATGACATCATTAACAGTAGAAAATGATTGACAGCTGCAGCAGCGAGGTTGGTATGTGCATGTCTGTGTGTTAATAATATGATCCTGGAGACTCTTGATTATGTAATAAAATGCATTATATAGAATTGCATTCAGCAGTGACATAATTAACTTTGAATCCGTGTACCAAATGAGTCAGTTTTACTCGTTCTAGGCTCAGTATATATTTATACATATTTATGATTCGAGGGAGCAGAGAGTCCATGTTGTGTTTCTGTTATTGCTCAGTGGGGACGACCTCCAGGATGATCTGTAGGGTTCTGTTGAAGGAGTCTGAGGACAGAGAAAAGAACATATGATGACATCAATGATGACACCTAATAAGACCACCAACATGTGGTAATAACAAATATTCCAAAATGTTTCTACTAATATCTCAGTAACCCTGAGGCGTAGAAGAAAAATATCTGAGATTTCGAATATCATGTACCTTTTTTCCAGGATTGATTGATTAATTGATTGATTGATTGATTGATTGATTATGTATTATTTACAGAGCTTTTTTTCTCGAGACAATGGAATAATTATCCTGTTATCTTGAGAAAACAAAGCTCTGTTATCTGTTATCTAATGATTGCTCTTTTGATTAAGTTATCATCATATAAATTGTGAGAAAATGCTGAAAAATTCCCATCACATATGACACTTTCCAATGTATAAACACCAAAATATTCAGATTGCCATTATACAAAGCAGAGGAAAGTATAAATATTTGAAAGTAAAGTAGTGTGAACATTTGAATATGTGAAACATTTGAATATTTGAAACATTAAATATCTATTTTTTAATTTTACCTCTAATAATTACTTCATTGTTAAACTAGTTGAGAACAAATTTTCTGTCTGTGCTTTAGTAAGTTTATCAAATAATTAATGATTCACAACTGATCAGTCGTCTCTAATTTCATATGTGCAGATGAATTAGTTACCTAAAGCCCTCTGGAGCCACTTTGGTTTGTGATCAAAGTAGATGAAGATGTAGTATGCAGGGATGCCAGTGAGGGAAATAACAAATCCAATCCCTGTGTTCACTGGGTCCGAGTACAGAGACAGGAAGACCATGAAGAAACACGTGAGGCAGAATATGACTGGGATGAAGAGCGGGACCTGTGGACAAGTCAGGAGTGATATCTGTTACTATTCATATACTGTATGTAGTGGATTCAGAATGTATTCAGACCCATTCTTTTTTGCACACTTAATTATGTTGTATATTTAATTTTAAATTGATTTGGATGTCATCCTACACTGAGATGTGTCGAGATCAGAGTCCACCTGTGTCAAGTCAATTTTTGTATATAAGGTCCTGCAATTCACAATGTATGTCTGGACAAAAACATCAAGTCATGAAGTTCAAGGAACTCTCTGTAGACCTCTGCAATAATATTGGAGTGAGGTACAGATCAAGGAAAAGTTTGGTATTTTATCAACCTCCAGATAAGATCAGGGCCATGTCTAAAGCTTTGTGTGTTCCCAGGAATAATTGTGAAATGGAAGAAGTTTTGAACCAGGACTCTTCCTAGAGTTGGCCATCAAACCAGGGTTCAACTTATGGGGGGGTTGGGGGAGTCTGACCCCCCGAATTAGGATTTGTACCTCCCCCAAAAGAAATAAACACAACAGTTTAGGGGGGTTTGAAACATTTATTAACATTGGAAACATTCATTTATCCTACTTACCTGTAATTGTAAATGTTACAATATATTTCCCATATTGATGCCTGGAAGAATCTTGTGCTACGATTTCAGTCACCCCTAAAGTGGACCATACCATTTCTTATTCTTGATTTAGCTGAGTGTCTCCTCTGCCTGCCTCACTCCATCAGTGGCTTTGTCCTCAAATCTCTGCTTCAATTTCTTACCTTCAGAGTTTCTGAATTAGATTGTGTCAAGTATCTATGGATGAACGCTAATGTTAGCTAGTTTCTAACTTTAGCCTTAAATTACATTTTAGCCAACTAATGTTATCTAGTTTCTGACTTCAGCCTTAAGTTACAGTTTAACTAACCGATGTTAGCTAGCTGATAGCACTCCCTTACATTTCCAGTGTTAGCTTGTAATCTCATTACCAATATGAAATGTCATATATGATCTAATGTTAGCAAACACTGGTGCTCAGTTATGAGCAGTGAGGCATGGAGGAGTAGTTGTTGTAGAGATACGTTTTGACATCTATGTAGAGTTTATTATTTCATGTTAATGGTGCTTCGTGTGGCTGTGGTGATTTGTTGAGTCTTTTGCCTTTTTTACTGGACCACAACAGCGGCGGCCAGCCCTCTAATTTTGAATGTCACTGACTGACTGAGTGATCAAATTTCTACCAATGGTCAGCCAAATGCCACAAGAGAGTAAATATTGTACTTTCTACTCCACAACATTTATGTTAAACCTTTCCTTTAACAAGCAAGAGACAATAGGACTGTAACACTTCAGTTCACTGAAGCACATGCCTGCACTGTACTGGGTTCCCTTTTGCCCACAGAAAAAGTTGACATCCTTGATTGTCATTGTATAATTCACACTCTGCATCCAACCAAACTGAGTCTTGGTAAGGGAGTTTACCACAAACCCAACAGTGACTCTAACAGAGCTTCAGAAGTACTCTGCAGAGAGGAGAAAACCTGCCAGAAAGACAGTACAGACTCTGTACTGTACTAATGCAATTAGTAAAATCAGTCACACCATGAAAAGCTAATAAATAAACCACAATTCATTCATAATACTGTGAATACACACCTGTAGTTTCGCACACATCAGTTTTCTGGGTCGTGTGAAATCGTTAAGAATAATAAACCAGTCTGCACACGACCAATGTGTGCGTCTTGTTTATATATGCATATGTGTGTGTGGTCAGAACTGAGGGAAGGATGAATGCAGCCAAATACAGAGAGGTCCTCGAAGAAAACCTGTTCCAGAGTGCACACAAACTGAGACTAACTCAGGTGACAGTTCACCTTTCAGCACGACAGTGACCCGATGCAAACAGCCAAGACAACGGTGGAGTGGCTTCAGAACAAGTCTCCCAGACTCAAAGGCCATAGAACACCTGTGGAGAGACCTGAAGATGACAGTTCACAAGCGCTTCTCCTCCGATATGACAGAGCCTGAGAGGATCTGACAGGAAGACTGCTTAAATCCATGTGTGCAAGGTTCTAGAGACTCACCAAGAAGTGTTGAAGCTATAATTGTTGCCAAGGGGGGGTTCAATTACTGAATTAAGGGACTGAATACTTTCGTAAATTCAATGTGACATTTTACAAAACAACAATGTGAAAAAGTGAAGGGTCTGAATAATTCATGATGCTTGTACATAGAAATGGATGTTTGACTTTCTTATAAACAGTGAACAGTGAAGGTGAGTAAGTTGTAGGTGTCTGACCTTAAAGGGGCGGGGCAGGTCAGGCTTTGTGTAGCGGAGGTAGATTAAACCCAGCACCACCAAACCAATGAACAGCCACCGCAAGAAGCTCATGAAGTTCAGCAGGCTGTAGATGTCTCCCACAAACAGCTGGAGCATGGTCATAGGGTACTGCACACACACACACACACACACACACACATGTAAAAAGCTTTGTAGCTTATATGGTAGCTGCTGTGGTTATGGAAATATTCTCAGAAAATTGTCTTGTTTGTGACCGGCTGGGAGATGTCCATTAAAGTCCATTATCAGGACAGCAGGTAACCATAGAAACAACATCAGTGCTTCACGCTACATTATCAGTGAAATGACAATTTTGAACATGTAATATGGTCAGAACTGCTTGTTTCAGCATTAGTGTTTGTTTGAATTGATGGTATCAGGGATAATTGGTTATTGGCTAATGAACAGTTACTGATTATTGTCATTATCACTGTTACTGCAGTAAACTGACCAGTATGAGAACAGCAGCCAGTGGAGTGTTCCTGCGGACATGGATCATTGACAGAACCTCAGGGAGCTGTCCTTCACGTGATGCCACATAGAACATTCTTATGAACACACACACACAGACAAACACACACAGACACACAACGATAAAAAAATAAAAATGTTGTTAATATTGAACTGAATGAGTGTATGACTAAAACAAGTTCACTTTAAATGTATTTGTCTTTTCATTTGTGTATTTTATATTTGTATCTGTGTGTTGTTACTTGTAATGTTTTTTGTGTCATGTTACCTGCCTTGGGGATACAGATATAAATGAGCTTTTTTGCTACAATCTGGCATGTTTACATTGTGTATTTTATACTGATGAATATTAACATGCATTGTCCCTGAATGTGGCTTTTAGTGTAAAGCGCTCTGAATGGTCGATAAGTCTAGAATAGTGCTCTGTAAGTGCAGTTATCTACCAATAGAAACCTGCACACTGTGTGGACACGAACTCCAAACAGAGGCAGTGATGTAGTGCAAAATCTACTCCTCCAAACTGACTGAACCACTGTACACACTTCAACTTCTCAAAGTTTGGCTTTTTCACCTCAACTGTATGTGAAAAAGATACTCTACTGTACATTTAAACACATTTTAGTGAGAGAGCTTGCAGACAGTAAAATAAATACCTGAATAAACACCTAAAATAAGTACAGCAATTACTTTGTCATGGTTATTTTAATGCACATAGCTGTGAGATGAAGGCCAGCAAAGAGGAAGCATCTGTACCTTGACAGGGCAAAGAGGCAGCCATTCATGGAGCCATAGCAGGACAAGGCCACAAACACTGGAACAGCTACTGAGAAGTTCCCCATCAACTTCTCTGCAAACGTCTGTGACAGGTACAAACACAGGGAGAGAAAGCAAAGTGTTAGTTGATGTTGGATTCAAAGTGTGGATTCAAAATATGTGACCATTACACGTCAACAGTGTATCTGTTATTCAGTGATTTCCAGTAATGATGTAACATTATTAACTAGATCTTCGGCTTATCAGCTGAGGAACTCCTACAGACCAACATCAATCTCCGGTCTTAATCCTCCGGTCCATGATCTTGTTCATTGTCTGTGTTTGATAGTTAACAAGCACAATCCTAGGGCAGGATAACTGTCAGCTTCATCCACATTTCCTTTCAAATGTCACACTGATCATTTCTGACATAAAGCATAAAACATAAAGTGTAAACTGACATAGCTACATGAATAGACAGTGTCATGTCTTAAAATATGAAATTTTAACAAATTTACTTGCAGACCACTGGTGGTCCACAGGCCACACTTTGAGAAAACCACAAACTGTCATTTATATATTTACAAACTAGAATCACCTCCTGGTGGTTGTCTGCCTCCTCCACTCAGACTAGTTTCAGGTTACATCCCTGTTTATCCAGAGTCAGAGAAAATATCAACCATTCGTGTGAAAATTTTTCATAATTGCTGCATGAAGTCTTGAGTTTTGGCTAAGTGTTTTGTGAGGTCACACTGACCTTGATCTTTGACCTTTGACCACCAAAATCTAATCAGTTCATCCTTGAATTGAAGTGAACGTTTGCACCAAATTTGAAGAAATTCTCTCAAGGCATTACTGAGAGATAAGGCCTGATTCATAAGGCCAAAATCATGATTTGTGAGGTCACCATGAACCTGACCTTTGACCTTAGCCACCAAAATCTAATCAGTTCAACCTTGACTCCTAGTGAATGTTTGTGGCAAATTTGAAGAAGTTCTGTCAAGGCATTACTGAGATATGACGTCCACGAGAATAGGATGCGTTGGAGCACATTCATTAGTGAACTTTTTGAGCATTAGTCAGTGTAATTGTGAACTTTGGAGGCAGATGACGCAGTGAGCCTGATTCTGTCCAGTGTCCAGGTGGGCAAACCACATCCTGGCTCCAGCACACACACACACACACACACACACACACACCCACACACACACACACACTCACTGAAATCTACTTCATTTTTTTTATTTCAGTTTTGAAAGGGAAGTCATTTTTATTTCCCAGAATGTTAGATAAATAAGGGAAGTGAATGAATCAGACTTTCCAGCTATCAGTTTACTCAACTGTTGTTGTCTGTCTTGTTTTATTAACTGTAGTTTGATAGATTTTTAGCTGTGACAGAACTGCTGGTAATAATTGTCATAAAAGGAAGTAGGAACAAACACATCATGCAGTGATCGTGGGAAGCCATATCCTAACATCTTTATCAAATCATCTTTATCAAATCATGATAATAATCTGCTATTTTCAGGCACAGTATGATCACTAAACGTAAACTAAGGGGTGACTCCATAAACAAAATGTAAAGGACCTGCCACCAGTTAGACTTTCATAGACCAACTGCACAAAGCTACCTGTAAGTTATCTTAATTTTCATCTATCAGTCAGAGTCTTCAATATACCTTCAATATATAGGCTGACCTCCTCGAGACAAGTTCTAGACATGAGTTAAACTCTGTAATTAGGTTTGAGACTTAAAGCCCTCTGTCTGCGAGAAAGGAAGAACAGAGTGTAATTCCTTTATCCCAGCACAGATAAATGCTCTTAACACCTTTCTTAAGGCGCTCCAATCACTCATCTTGCATAGGGCAATAAAACTAACTGCATTAGAAAAGATCAGAGATCTCTTAGTGAATGAATCTGCCCTCGCTACAGGCTTACAGTAGCACTGATAGCAGTCCTTAGTCTTAAGCAATGGCGGCTGTTATTAGGGGATGTCTGTGATGTGATTATCACCAACAGGGCTGGGCTAGAGCAATCAGATTAACAGCTGCTGGGAAGCCAAGCTGTCGGAGACACCTCGCTAATAATGACATGTTAAGTGCAGGACGGCAACCACGGTGCTCACATTAGGAGTAAACGTCACAAATAGCACAGCAGTGAGACTTACCTAAATGTGTTACAGTAGCACACACACCTCTCCACTGCAGGAGCACCAAGGCCAACCTCAAGTGTGAAGAACTCACCATCAGAAATCTGTTTACAGCTCATTGGTGGTTAGTTTCAAATGTAAAAATGAATAACTCAATAACAAAAGAGACTAAATGTACAGTCAGCATTTTTGGATTGTTGTTGTTTCTTTTTGTTTACTGACTTTACATTTTTCCCCCAAGACAATTTAACTTCTTCTAAGATTCACACTGTGTTTTGCAGTCAGACTTTTGGCCAACAGAAGCTACAGACCAGGGGGATTTCACAGCCTGACACTGTGGATGTACAGACAACTATCAATGAATCCTTTTGATACTGAAGAAAACTTTTAAAGATAATGGTTCTGGAGCCATAGAGGGCATAAATCCAAGGTTTTAAGTGCCTTATTTTACTCCTTGTAGTGTTATGACTGAGTATAAGAACAACTATTTGGAGTTGTTCAAAAGTTCTATAGAAAATGACTTGATTCTGTGGTTAAGGAGAAGAAAAGGAGAAGAAATGTGCACCAATCCCAGGGAAACAAAACTAGGGGGATCACTTTTGCACTTATTTCTCCCTTCTGTGGTTTTGTTCTTTGTTCTTTCTTTTACCACATGCTCCAAGTAACTTCGAAAAAGAAGTTCTCTGCTCTGTTGTGAGGAAGTTTCCCGGCTTCCAACATCAAGTACCGCAGGTTCTGACCGGCTACAGCGAGATTTCGTCAGTGTGAAAGGGTACAATTAGCATTCACTCCCAGCGGAAAAGACTGTGCAGTAATCCCGGGTATGTATCCGTGATGTAAAGATGACACCTTGGTGAACACGCTAGCTTTTGTTGTAAAAAGCTGACCAATTAAAAACTCATGCAAAACAGTGGAGCAACACAACCCCCGATATGAGTGCTTCAACTTCTGTAAGTTTTGACATGATACAGATCATGTAGCAGCCCAGATAGATTCTCCACAATTCTACTGCACAGTTCACTTTACTGAAACCATGAGTACAAAAGCATAATTTATTCAAATGTATTGGCATCGTATACAACAAAATAGTGGTGACTCTCAGACAATTGAACTTCACAATTTCTTCAAAGGTTGTCTGTTCCTTAATTATTTATATTCCTTTGGTCCTTGGTCCACCAATCAAAAGAAAGAAAAGGGTTTTATTAAAAATTAAATTAAAAAAGAAATTTCTCACCACAGCAACAGCATCTGAGGCCAAGAGCTCCTCTGGTGACATCACCGTGTAATACGCCACATTGGTCAGCACATAACAGGAAGTCACAATCCCCATGGAGATACAGATAGCTAATGGCACAGTCCTGAGGACAGGAGGGATAATAACAGAAGTATCACACTGTCATTCACTTCACATATGTCTCACTCACCTTCATTTCCTCTCTATTATGGCCTTTTCTCTTTTTCTGTCTCTTCTCTGTGTAGCAGGAGAAGGAGGCCACTCTGTTGCTGGTGATTATTTAATACACCTAGTATGAGTACACTGAATTTCAGGAGCATGTATGATAAGTTGTCAAATTAAAACTGCGATTCAAATATTAACAGCCAAAACAAATAAGTGAAGGTTGGAAATTACCTGTAATATTTTATCTTACAATATTACAGTCATTCATAATTATTTCCATTTGCAGTGTCTGGATTGCTGTTACTGTTGATGATATTTTCCACTTCCAGAGACAGATCTAGGTGAGTAAAGGAATGAAGTTTGATGCTGCACTCGTATCATATCTTCTAGACTAATAAGTGAACAGCTCGAAATGCTAACGTTGGTTATGTAGCAATAACAAAAACTTACATATAGCACCTTTAAGATTTCTTAGTTCTCCAGGTGTTTTAGCATATTGTTGCCACTGAGGATGCTTGTTAAACAAACAAAAAAAAAAACAGAATAAAACGGGTATTCTCTGTTTTCTTGCTGTCAACAAATCTCATGAAAAGACAAAAAGACCAAAGACCAAAAATCTCTAAACTGTCTGAAATCCCATTGGTTCCTAGTAAACACACAATTCACATGTTTTTGTTTTCTTATTGTCAAAACTAACATTCAAACAGTGTAGTGCATTTGTTGGGACTATTTTCAGCAGCAGATTAATCCACAGACTATTTTCAGAAGCAGGGCAGTGTATGTGGCATTGATTCAAAATAAACAGTGTATGTGTTCATGGTAATGAAGGCCCAGTGCAGTTGTGAGGCTCACTGATGTGTGGAGCTCTATTGCAATGAGGAATAACATATATCAGTCTTTAGATACACAAATAATACATACACAACACAATAGTTGATTTGTATGCACAAGAATTTGTTAACAATAAGAAAATCATTTAAATGACCATTGTTGTTTTTTTTCACTTGAGGACTCAACAAAATTGAGTCTGTTCAGACATAATGAAGTTGATATGGCTGATGTAATAGACAACTTTATCATTCATTTGGAGTGGTGTTTGTGACCAGTCCAACATTCACTCTCTTATAGATCTGTGTTTGGTCTCTAAATGACTGAGAGAGAAGTCGGATTTAGAGCAGATTGTGGAGGACTGTGCACAAGTCTCATTGTGACATTCAGACAGGTGCAACAAATGACTGATGGAGTAACAACTACAGCAGCCACTACGTTGTTTATACATGTGCTGTTTTATTCTGCTGATAATTCTATAATCATTCCTTTCCCCCTTTGAAAAATGGAACGCAGTAACATTTACTCAGAAACAATACATTACTAGTAGAGCCAGCACATGGATCAACTTACCTCTCAGGGTTTTCTACCTCCTCTGTCACAAAGTTCAGGTAGAACCTGGAAAAGGAAACAGCTGTTCTATAACCTCCAACGATTAAAGAATGACAAAATGATCTGTAATAAACTCACACCACGACTGGCATGTAAGTACAGCATGTATGTGTGTGTGTGTGTGTGTGTGTGTGTGTGTGTGTGTGTGTGTGTGTGTGTGTGTGTGTGAGAGGATCATACCTACCACCCAGCGTATGCATACATCCCAGAGTAGAATGCCAGTGGCATACCAGACAGCTTCACATTGTTCAGTTCAAAGGCATTCTCAAAGTTTCTGGTCTCCCCTGCAGACACACACACACACACACACACACACACACACACACACACACACACACAAACACACATTTTTTCTTGTTTACGGTTTGAAGCACCATAATGGTGGGTTATTGCAGCAGTGAAATGATCTTTGCAAAGAGTTCTTACACAACACATGTAATAATGATAATAATAATAGTAATAATAATGGTAATAATAATAATAATAATAATAATAAACAAAAGTAGTTTTAAAAATTAAAGAGATTCATGGAGCAGTATTCTGCCTTAGCTTGGAGAAATAGATTATTCTCCACAGCACTGATTAACTCATACTCATATATAATTAGTTGAGATCACATTTATAAACAGAAGCTGATACAAACAAATAAAACAATCTAATGGGACAATAATGTTGTGCTGCAAGCCATTAAAAGCCAGATTCTCTAAAATGATCATACCTGACAGCCAAATAAATTCATTTTTTTATTTGTTTTATTATTATTTTGTCATTTTAAATAGGCTAACAAATACATTTGGAATATAATGAACAGTACATACACAGTGTTTCCCACACAGACTTTACTTGGGCGTGCTGCCCAAGTATTTTAACAGCCACCAAAGTATATTCCATTAGTATATACGCCCTCACCTTTCTCTGATGGAATCAGGAAATTCATTTTACCCAAAATATTGTGATTAAATCAATATTTCTGTAAAGAATAATCTTATACACAGCATTAACAAAGATGTAGGTCTGTGGGCAATGACATGGGCCTCATCACTTTGATGGCACAGTGAGCTTGTGAAAGGAAAATTAACTGAATAAATAAAAATTCACTCACGTGCCTCTTTGGCCGCATTTCTTTTGGCTGAACATGTTTTCGTTTGCTGTCTTAATCTAATTATATCATTTTTTCCACAGATTATTTTTCAAATATCAAGTCAAAAAAAACAAACAAAAAAAAAAACACGGCCCATTTTTCGGGTACACAGCGGCATGTTCATTCCAAAATACATGTAACCTCTAATTTCATCATGTGTGCATGAGAATAGTCTATTGAATGTCTGTCTGAGGCAATTTAATCCTTGTCCTTAGTAGGTATATGGCATTTCATCCATCCCGGACTCAAAGCCATGCTGCACTCGTCTGCGAGGGTGGTTTGTAAGTCTGCATTGATGCAGACTTGGTGTTGGAGGGCTTTATAACCCACTCCCATAGTTTGGAACAACACTCAATGTGGCGGACCCTCCACACGAACGTGCAAACGGATTGAGGGTGGGTGGATGGGGGGGCCGTATTGGAATTGGGCCCTTTTCTTTGATTGTGTTTTGTTTTCTGACTTGGTAGTTAAATTCGAATTCTATGAAAGAAAGCGGCAACTATGCTGCGTTGGTAGCTACACATGCAGCGAAGTTGTCCTGGCTAAATATACGTACCCATCGACTTCCCATGTGGGTAGATGGAGGGGTGGGTTGGAGGGTTGGATCTATTAAGTATATTATGTGAAGTTAATAGAAATATTCAATAAAACAAAATATTTTGTTAAACGTCACATGTATTTGTTGTTTGTTACATGTAGCAGACCATTTTTGTGCCAGCAGGTAGTACCAGCCATTTTCGCCGGCTACCACCGCAAGTATATTTCAGACCTGTGGGAAACACTGCATACATTATGTATTTATTGTATATGTCTTTGAAATGATTGTCGTCTGCCATCCGAATAAGGGAAAAAAATAAGTTATTCAAGTTATTCATTTTTCAGACAAGGGCCTGAAAAATGAACGTGGGAAAAAACCTCCAAAAGCCCCTGGATGCTGCTCTGTCCTGGGGCTCTTGTTAACTTTTAGATAGTGTTGGAGACCACATGCTCTTAGTTCTACAGACAATAGAACTCACTGCCCCACAGTTCCTCACTGTTCACACCTGGGGACAACCCTCCCCAGAGGACCTAACTGACTAGTCAGTGTTAGTCAGTGTGTGACATGTGACCCCCCAGAGTGTCACCAGGCAAAACCCGATCACCTTCTTCGTTCTGTCTCGTCTCTCCTTGGCTTGCTCAGGAGCAGCAACTCCTTTTCCCTCTCGGTTCTTCACAGAGCGACAAGCCCAGCCCAGCCCAGGTCACCACTGCCACCTGGGAGACATTCAGCTCTCTTGTGGGCCTGCTCACAGAGACAGCAGCACTCTTTCTCACTCTGCTCTTCAACAGCAGCAACATGAGTGGACAAGTTTACTTCAGCAGCTACGACACAAATTCTGCCGGCTGGTTTTCAGAGCAACCACAGCCACAGCGGTGTTAGCAGCTGAGATGAACAAGGAGGAAGCCAGCAGCCTCCTCTGCGACACAGAAGCCACACAGCCAGACAGGACTTCACTCCACCGGGAAGCAACACAAACTCACTGGACTTTACAACAACACTGGACAGGACCTCTTTCTTTTGCTCCAAGGACTGGGTAACATTAACTTGGCCTAATCTCATCTAGCACAGCACAGCTAAGCATTAGTCTTAGTTAAGTCTTAACCTTTGTTACTATACATGTTGGTTAATGTCTTGTTGTTGAAATGTTTGCTTAGGTTGTCACATAGTTCATTCGAGTACTTTTATGTTGCATGAAGCTAACCTCCTCCCTCTAACCTGGTACCATTAGATCACATGAGCTAGGCTAACAAAGAAACACACACTAGGTGGTCTCGGCTGACATTTTGAGTAGTTTCTTTGTTTACCACCATCTTGTGTAGTCTTCCTTGTTCAAGCCATGTGGTCACAGCAACCATTTTGAATTGGCCATCTTGCCTGTGTCCCCACAAACATACCCCCATACACACACACACACACGCACACACACGCACACACACACACACACACACACATCTGTATATAATAGATTAGACACTGTGTTTTACTCTGCTCCATTGTAAATAAATGCCTTTAAGTATAACTACTGGTGTGTTTAATGTTGCACAAGTGTGAATATTACCAACTTTAACTTACTGTTGAAATGGCAATTGGGTTATAGTTATTAAGTTAATTATTAATTAGAGTTCCAGATTAATAGTAATGATTTGAGACTGAACCAACATCGGCTATCCTTGCGTTTTTAGGCTGGTGCCCCCGAGGACTTTTAATTCATTTTAAAATTATCATTAAATATTAATATTTTTAATATTAATATTTTCTTAATTTATGATAAACAACCGAAGGTTCAACATATGGTGACCAACTTGTGAGGCAGAGCTTAGACCCAACAATAGAAAACAGTTTACAGCTGAAATGGAAACCCACCAATGTGATACGTATTGTAATGCTTTAAACACAAATAGCCAGATATTTAAGTGAGATCAGTAGCTGAGGGAAAGACAGTGAAGCCGTATGCTAAACTGGTTCACATCCCTCTGAGCACTTGCTGTGAGGACATTGTGAAATGCTCACACTGTTGCTTGCTGTGAACAGCTGTGTATCGAGGCCTGTGAGGCGTCAGGGTCATATTTACTCTACGTGTTGTTGTGTGAGACAATTGTTGCAGCCGCTCTGTGTGAAGTCTGGAATGAAACACTAAATGTCGCCCGCACTCCAGTGTAGTTTTAATACTGGCTATTAGGGATGATGATGATGATGATGATGATGATGATGATGATGATGATGATGATGATGATGATGATGATGATGGCTTACCTTTAAAGAGCTGGTACAGCCCAGGCACTATGATGAAAGCAATGGCCAACAGCTTACTGAAGGTGAGGAAGATTTGAATCCTGGCCGTCCATGTCACACTCATACTGTTCAGGTACATGACAGACGCTGGAGACAGAAATATAGTCATTAACTTACAGATTCAAATAATTCCAGTTCTGTAAATTTAGTTGAATATTTTTTGTCTGATCACTTGACTGTGATGTAAGCAGCAGGATATAATCAATTTAGTCCATCAAAACAATATGCAGAGAGCTATCTTTTAGCACCATAAACAACTGCTTCAACCAGCCATTGAAAACATCAAAAATTACATATGAATATGGTTTAATTAAATTGTCTGTGAAGGACAAGAACAGACTAAACGTAGTAAAGCATAGTAAAAGTGTGCTCCAAGATTATTGGAGTTCAGCAGAGGGACTCTCCTGTTGGGAGAAACAACAAAGCAAAAAAGAAAGATCAGCCAAACAGACCACATTCTCTCGTCCGAATTCTCTCTAATGCCTTCGGGTCGACGTCATAATGTGCCCTTGATGAGAACTAATCTTTACTACAAGTCCTTTATCCCTTCTGCTATTAGGCTGCTCAACACAGACAATACTCATTTTAAATGATTGTTATTTTAGAGGAATTCATTGCATATATTCTATTTATTGCTTTTATGTTTTACTTATTGTAACTGTCACATGCCTTTTAATGTTTCCTGTGACATTTTAACTACTTAACTTAACTACTTTTAACTATTTAACTCTGGTTGGTTGGTTATCTGTTGAGACTGAACGATGGACTGGGAAGTTACAAATGAATTGCCCATGGGATGGGGGATAAATCAAGTTGTCTGAACTGAACTGAACTGAACTGTCTGTTACTATAGGCAGGCAACTGCTTAGGGCCCCAGGCTTTTAGGGGGGCCCCAAGGTTTGACAGACTTTACTCCACAGCAATGTCTCAAAATACCCTTAAACAACCAATGGAGGATTTGCAAGGACATCTGAGTGGGAGACCTCCCTAAAGGAGCCCCATTTAGAATACACACGATGGTGATTGGTGATTGGTTGTTAGGTACGTCCATTCAGCTGTTTGGCTGGTGATTGGTTGACTGAACAAGCTGCCGCTCTGTCTTGCCCACTGAACACATCAGTCCAGAGCCACATCAAAACTCATTCACTTCTTATTTATTTTAGATTCTGTTTCTGTTGTCATTTTATTTCTTAATACACTTTCCTCTTGTGCTGCTACTCTTTTATGCTGCGGTGTCAAATTTGAATTTCCTCTACAGGGATCAATAAAGATACATCTTATCTTATCTTATCTTATCTTATCTTAAGGTCTGTTCAAAAAGTTGCTGGATATGTCACTAAATGCTTTTATGAAAAAAAGTAGCTAAAGTGTTTTAACAGTCACTAAATCTAGTGAGAAAATCACCAAGTTGCCAACACTGTTCAGTAGGAAACCTCCCTAAAGGAGCTTTCTGGATTGATGAACACTGACCTTGTAATGTGGGTTATTTACAATGTGACAACGTTGAAGTTATTTAGTTATTTATTTAGGTTTATATCTATTTTTTGAAAATTACAAGGTTTGTTACATACTTTGTGTAATGCAAATCCTATTAACATGAACATTTGGAATAAGAAAAAAGTTAAGATGCATGTTTAATTGGTGTCAGGTTATTTATTACATACTGCTGATGAATGGTGATTGGAGGGGCCCCCTGCCAATTTTATGCCTAGTGCCCCAGCTGAGTCTAGAAACGCCACTGACTATTGGAGTGTTTGATTTTGGCTTTTTTCCCAGTGAAACCCAGCTCACTGTTGGCTGTATTATTATTATAATATTATTATTAGAAAAAGATTGTCCTGGGTCTTGTCATGTGACATCATCCCCTTCTCCCTCCTCTGCCTCTAACTGCACAGTTTCACTCCTGTTATCATGTGCACTTACGTCTCCTGTCATTCACAGAGCAGGTTACAACAGGTCAACAAGGATATAACCATCCTGGCAGCGGATGTGTTAATTTAAGGGCAGTCCGTGTACGTACTGATGCCAATGGCGGTGGCCAGTTTGACAGCCATGGGGGGGATGTGACAGGGCATGAACAGAGGCTCCAGGATGTACTGACCAAAGGCCAGAGAGATGACGGCCATCCCTGCAGGCCTGCAGGATACACACACACACACACACACACACACACACACACACACAGCCACAGTTTTTTACAGACATATAACACAGCGCATTAAATGTATATTAAAGTTCCAAGAATGAATAGTTTTGTTGTAAATGTAAATGAGAGGTGTGTCTCAAAGAGATTAATACATATACAATTATCAGTCAGAGCTGCAGCTCTGTGAGTGTCTTTCAGCTCATTGTGTTGGTTTTATGGCCCCACTTTCATGGTGCACCACCTGCACAGCAGACAGACACAGTCAGAGACCAGCTGGCTTCAGGGCCAGAGGTTTTTCTCAGGAATTGTTGGTACTAAACACAGAGCAAAGAGTGACGACAACTGTCACTGAGTGTTTAAAAATCTTCTGGGGATATTTGTTGAACCCAGTTTTCAGCCTGGATACTCAGCAGCAACCTCTGTAGACTTCAGCCCAACACAACCCCACTCTGATCATCCACTTCACTTGTCATATATCTTCACGGAAGAGTAAAATCAACTAGTTCATGTTCATAGTTCACTGAATTTCTGTATCTCAAATTGAAATGGCCGAAAGGTTTCTATTTGTTTACAGTTTGCTGTTGTGAAATAATGAGTAAAGTTATGCGGATGGTTAATATCTACATTCCAATACATATGGCGCCTGGTTATGTGGTGGGGGGTCTGGGGTCCTCCCCCAGCAAAGAAAACATTGTGATTTAAAACAGATTTCCTGCATTTTGACATCACCTGACCTCCTGGATCAAGTCAAGAAACAGCTCCCTGAAACAGTCCACATTAGTTAGACTGAGGTTCTGTGAAAAGCAAGCATGCATTAAGAACAGTTTATAACTGGTGGATCAGGACAGGAAGTGATTATTAGAAGAATAATGGCTATTTCATATTTGTTATGTTCATTTAAAAAATCATGTATCTAGAATAGTAGCAGATTACAGGCTACTAGATCATCTTCAAGATCAAACAAGAGCTAAGAAATGATATAAATGAATCAGCCTCACAACACATCACTCAATGTTAAACACTCACAAGGTCATCTTCAAAGTCTAACAACTGTAACAAACTGTAACAAAGTACAAACGGGCTCGCAACAATTATCTAATGCACCTGTTTAATTTTACTCACAGGTTCTAGTAGCAGCTAAGCTCCACTAGCTGCTGTAGTTTTAACGTTATACAGGAATCAATAATCATAACTTCAACAGCAGATAATTTAACCTGCATTATCTCATATCAAGGACTATTGTAATGCAGACAAACTATGCACAGAAAACCTGTTCAACATATATAATTACATTTGTACATAAAGGAGTTAGTGGCTCTTAAGCTACCTCTTATTGAAGAGAGACCAGAGCGTGCTGTATGTGAACCAAAAAATGTTAAATTATATCTCCAGATTACAGTATTAAGGTAAAACACATTCATGATTTTGTGAAGTCATTCTACCATAAAAACTGTTACTGAATCATGAGAAAGTTTCAGAGCAACAGAGACACAGAGCATCGCCGTAACTATAGTAACTCACTCACACACCTGTGTGCGTGCACACGGCGTGAGAGGAGAGACACTGACGCCTCTGAGCATGAATGGGAATAAATGACAATACAACAGATTTGTGGATATTTCTCACTTTCCTGTCTGTCTTTCCACACAGAGACTTTATCAGTTATGAATTTGTTTTTTATGCTCCGCTGCATCCAGACTGGACTCCAGTTTAGGTTCACATAATGATAACAAGCCTGACCTGGTCAGACCTCAAACCAACCAGGGGCCTCATGAGACGAAAAAAAAAAAAATTAAGCTCATGTCTCGTGAGGCCCCATGGTTGGTTGGAGGCCCTGCATGGGCTCAAACCCAGGTAAGCCCATGCATTAAGGCACCACTGCATACCAGTAACCTACAGTATAAAGCTGGTGGTCAACACTGGTTTGGTGTGGAGAAATTGTCTCAAATATCACTTATATAAATACAAATACCTCTCACTGACAAACATGAGACCACAGACCTCATCTGATAAGATTTTTGCTTTTAGATGTTTTATTACACAACAGTCATAGATTCTGTCACTGTGTTAGGTATGGATGGAATTATAATGAAATGAATTATTCCCCATTTTGCTGGGGACCCCTAGGAACCTTCTCAAGGATCTCTTGGCCCCACTTTGAGAACCACTGGTCTAAAGGATTATTCATAAAGACCCATATGCTATTACATGTACTGGGAGATTTGAAAAATACAAGTGTGGAGATGGAGCTCAGCTGTGGCAGGGTGTGATTTGGACCCCCGGTTCCCACTGTGAAACACAGTTTTTCTTTCTCTCTTCTTTTGGTGGTTGGTGTGTTACCGCGAGTTAATGATGCTCATGTTCATTAGTTGCAAATGAATACGTTCAGTTCAAAGGTCACCAAAAACATTAATGTGTTCTTTTGGTGCAATCAGGCACAGCTGTATGTTTGTGTGTGTGTGTGTGTGTGTGTGTGTGTGTGTGTGTGTGTGTGTGTGTGTGTGTGTGTGTGTGTGTGTGTTTAATATGTTATGGGCAGGTTGAATACATAATCACATCCTCATGTGGTGGACTGTGTCTATGATTCTTATTGAGGCCCAGCGCTTCAATAAGAATCAAATAAGGTTGACTGGTCCCACAGGCTCATCTTATAGCTCATCAGTATTTCTCTCTTCATTTCCCACGGCAGCCGCTGAGCTGCTGCAGCCAAACAAATTTCTCTTTGTCTCTTTTGTTCTTGTTTTCATTCTCTGTCTCTGTCTCTGTTCATTTCCCATGGTTTCCATTCAGTCCCTGTAGCCTGAGGCCAGCATAAAATTGGGCAGCTCAGGATAGCCACTAGACTGTTTATACTGCTTCGCCTTGGCTGTGTACACACACAGCTGCGCATGGAGCGTTTTCTCCCCTCACTGCTTTAAACTAAACGCAGTATTCCACAAGGTCACGGCCAGAGAGTGCCTGTATTTGCCTGGTGTGATGTCAGTGATCGGAAATCAAATCATCTTTAATCATTAACTGTATTATGGGTAAACTGCTTGGGCTGTGTTTATGTCAAAGCAATTAATGCTACATTTTGCCCATTGAAATGTAATTGATTTAAGTAGAATCACTATAAAAAGTGGTTTTGTCCCCTGGCGGTGAATCAGTCCACATGGAGATTTCTGGTAGAGTTAAAGGGGCTGTATGTAAGTTTTCTCCGCTGCCGAACATTATTTCTCGTCAGCAGCAGGTGGTGGTCAAGCCATCGTTGTCTTTATAGTACAAGAGGTTATAATACGTCCTCTGAGCAGCTACGTCTTCAGGACAAACTGGAGGTTACAGCGAGTCTCTATTGGAAGATGGTGATGAGATCAGTCAGGGTTAGCTGGTTAGCATGCTAACTTCAGTAGAAGAAAAGACGTGATAGAAACAAAAGTTAAAATTGGTGTTTGTTTCCACCTCTGGAGACAGCTGTTGGTGAGTAAAGGAATGAAGTTTGATGCTGAACTCACGTTTCTTCTAGACTGGTAAGTGAACAGCTGCTAATGCTAATGTTAGCTATGTAGCGATAGCAAAACTTACAAATAGCTCCTTTAACACTTTTCAGGCTTCAACTTTAAAGCAGCATTCATTGATATTTTTGGCTGCTTTGGGGCAGTGCAACAAGCAGTGGACACATTGATATCTTATCACCTTATAAAGTAGTTATTGCTAAAATGTAAGTAAACAATCTATTCACACATCCAGCAGACACAGAACAACAATAGCAATGAAGTCAAATTCCCTCTCTTTTTGTGTTTGTGTGTTTGGTCTCCACCAGCTCCTTAGGGAAATATTTGAATGTTCACCAGCTGCTCTGTGTGTGTGTGTGTGTGTGTGTGTGTGTGTGTGTGTGTGTGTGTGTGTGTGTGTGTGTGTGTGTGCGTGTGCGTGTGTGTGTGTGTGTGTGTGTGTCTGCTGTTTGCTGAGACTGAACCAAAGCAAGTTTCAGGCCGTAAAGACCAAAACAATGAGTTGAAAGATGCTAAGTTGCTCCTTAGAACTGAGGGGAAACCTCAGATGTGGTGATGACTCTGTATGGGTTGATCACTGTAAGCAACACATTTCGCATCACACATAGTGATTTGACCCATTGTTAATATAAAAACATTGATGAGTGCAGCTTTAAGTTAGTAAGTCATTACCTTATAGCAATAAGATCTGCCCACAGCCTTATGAAAGCCATCTGAGGTCCAAAGGCTTCCATTATGTATGTGTAGTGTCCACCAGACTTCTTAATACACGTCCCCAGCTCAGCGTAGGACAGGGCTCCTGCAGTGACAGAGGTGACACATTAGCTTTGGCTCTGAAACAAGCAGGGGGGCACAGAGTAGTCCCAGGGCTGTAAAACCATCTCAGCCTCGTCTGTAGAAATGTACAGTCCCTCCCTGGGCCCCATGATCACTAAAATATATTACTGGGGCAGCCTTTTAGTGTCTCAACCCATAACTCAAGACAGAAAGATTTAGGTGGATGGATTTTAATTACAAGGTTAGGGAATAGGAATTAAAGGAAGCAGGAAAGGGGTTAAGGAAGAGTATTCAAGGATAATGTGCTTGGACCTTTCATTACAGTTTAAACTGAAGGATTTAAGTTTACTGCAACAACATATGCTGTGATACACAGACATGCACTTCAGCACTCCCTCCTGCAACACCAGTATTTCTACCATGACTCCTAGAAATTACATTTATATATTACTATATTATCTTCTCCCAATTATGTAGTGGTGTCAAAAGTAATTCTCTTCAGTGGCAAAGTTTCTTTAGTGCCACATACAGTATATGAACTGCACAGTACTGCAGTGTGTGTGTGTCTTACATCCTGACCCCCACCTGTGGTTTGATTAAAGCTAAAGGTGAAAAGGTGAAAGGTGGTTTTGGTTAAATGTTAATAAGCACATTGTGTCTCAAGTCATTTTTTCTGTATTAAAGGAGACCACACTCTTTCCCCAACCTTCACCAAGTTTAATAACATGTAGTCAGCAAATGTTGTACTGCAAGAAAACAAATGAAATACGTGGTCAGCGATGTTCAGTATCATTAGTTCAGCAGTTTACCAGATACATTCACTGGCAACTGTGTGAAGAGAAAATGTAAGCCGGTTGTCATTGAGCTGATTATGTCACATTAATAATTATAACAACTGCTCATCTGATTGACTTCAAACTTGGCGGGTGTGTTGTTGAGGACCCAAGAAAGTGCTGTGTCGACTGTGAACCTTTTTTGGATGAGCAGTTCCCAGCAAAGCTTCCAACATTTCTTCTCTACATGTTACTTGACGTGACAGTAAAATAGATACCCCAAGTACTTATTTACTGTGTTCTACCTACACCCTAAGAATAGGGTGAGTGTGTGTGTTGGGTTTTTTTTTCTCAACCACTCAAATATTATAACAATAAAAAAAAGCTCTAGGTTGGGCTGTGGTCGAAAAGTCAAAATAAGTCTTTTTACCCCCTACGAAGACCCAGTGGATTTGTTTTATTTTATTTTTGATGGACATTTTAGGAGTTGTAGCGAGCTAACCATTTCACGTCGGACTGCTTTCTCAACGAGGGCCAGTACAATGCGGGATTCGCTACATTCTGAAGATAAAGCATGGATCAGCACCGACTGTCCGAGACCCAACTTCAAACTTGGGAGCTGTAAGTTTCACCATTTTATGTTGCTTTACTGTATGTACACGAGAGCCTGTTGCATGTGTTGTTAGCATGGCAGCTAATGTGGCTAACGTTTTGCCTCGTCCACACAGCCGGGTATTGCCGGGTACAGATTGTATGCAATTCTTCTGCTTGGTATCGCTGTGTGACGTTGATTAGAGCCACCCTGCTAACTTTATAGGCGTTTAGCTGTCTGTAAAGTCAAGCCGGTAAAATTCAGACTAAACAGGCTTTGCAGCGATTAGCATAGGTGTCTGGGCTTGTTTGTTAGTGGTGTGAAAGTTAGTATTGAGAGTCATGCCTTATGATGTCCGTTTTAACGTTTATATCATGTTTACAGATACAGAGTCTGTGGGGAATATCTAGATAAGCACAGAGTTACAGGGAACATGTGAAAGGGGATAGTCTGTAATACACATATTTTGCATTTTGCACATATAGTGAGCTATTTGCAGTATTTACAAGCTATTGACAACCCAGTTTACACATAATTGAGTGCATTTGATGTTATCATTTTTGCACTGCTTGCAGCTGTTGCCATAACTACACATTTGAGGAGATGTTGGTGTAACCTCTGTTTCCTCTGTTCAGGCCAGCACATCAAGTGCATCTATACAGCTTCCTGCAACAAGGGATGTTGCATGCCAGACTGACCCACTGTAGGCACACAGTTATCCTTGAGGACTCTTCAGCCTCACATCAGAAGTACAGGTCTGTAGCGTCTGAAGTGCATCTACTTTTGATAAACCTAACAGTCATTTATCAGTCTTGGAATGCTGTGCAGGTAAATGAAGCTGTGGTTACTTAGAACTTGTGAGAGTGTGTAGGCTAAGGTTTCTGTCAACATTAACATCTTTGATTTTCTCTTTACTGTACCTCCAGACTCTACCTGGCTGCCATGTACTACAATGAAAATGCTGACCGACCACAAGCCCAAACAAAAGAAGGTGAACCACTGTTCAAGGTCCAATTTCCAAAGGCCATGAAGGGAGAATGCAGAGCTACACCAGTTAAGACTGAGCCGACATTCTATAAGTGTTATATTATTTTATTTTTCAACCAAAAAATGTTTTGTACACATTGTATTAAGTATTACACGTATAATGTTATAACAGCTCCACCAACAACAAAATACAGTAAAGAAAATGTCAGGAGGTAGTTAGAAACAGACTTTCAGTAAACAACAAAAAAGTGAAAAATGTAAACAAAATCTTTCATTTCTAAAGAAATGACTCCTCTGAATTCATATATTATATGCACAGTATCTGCTGATAGAAAACTTTACAAATCAAAGAGCAGCTAAACTGATTTATTTGTGGGTGTGTTACTCCATTTGCGGTGTGTTATTACCATTGTAAAATTATGTGCACTGAAGTAAAACAAGACTGCCTAACATCTTTTATTTAGATTGAAACTATGTTTTTACAAAGAAGCAAAACGTACTGGTGTATTCCTCTCAACCGTAAAGTACCGCAGTCAGCGCGGTACATGTTGCAGGCATTCTGGAGGGAGTACACATTGAGGCAGAGCGGCTCCAACCCAGGACGGTCTACCATACATGGTAATTCTTCCTCGATCTCCCATAGCCGTCTGGTAACCTACAGTGAATTACAAATGGTAAATGATATGGTTTATTATAAATGTAATTGAAACAAATTACTGATTAGTTTGTCTAGTGAGAATGCTACCTGTGGTATCTCCTAGCAGCAGATATTCTCAGCTTCGTTTTGCAGAGTTTAGTCTTTGACTAAAGATTAATGTTGCTATCAGACATGTTTATGCTGATTTACAGCTTTCATTGTAATGCACAAAATAGATTTACTACATAAAGGAAGATGTTATGATGAGCATCTGCTCAAAACATGGACAAAAATTAATAAAAATCAAAATGATTTACTTTGTCAGCATCTATTAAAATATCTGACTAGTCTTGACATTGAACACCTGTAGCAGTCCACATACAACAAACATTTTCATAGACTGTAAAAGTATATCTAAGGAGGCATGACAGATAACTACATTACACAATTCACAATAGTGCTTATTTACCAAAAGAGCTCCCAGTAATGACGAGACAGTAACAGTTAGCATTAGCTACCTAGCTACATGTTAATAACTGTGTGCCAGCACACATCAACAAACTGAAAATGTAAAGTCAGAATACACAAAATTGGTTACCAACCATTCAGAAACGTCCTGCTGCAGTTGTAGAGTTTGAACTTCTTCAGCAGCCTCTCCCTCTGGGTCAGATTCTGGATAAAAGTCGCGTGGTTGAACCAAATCACTACCGACGTCAGGTCGCCGGTCACGGTCACCGTAAACATTAGAGCATGGTGCCAGAAGCCCAAGCCGCATCCCCTTCCGGAGAGGGGCGTGGTCAGGCACAGCTCATTTGCATTTAAAGCAACAGACACAGAAACAGCCTGTTCTGAACAGGGCTGAAACAGAGGGGTTTACAGGCATGCTGAAATATAGGATCGGAGTGGATTTTTTAGCAAGAAGCCTCAAAGACATGTTTTGGGGACGTCTGAGACTTATTTAAACTTGTTGAAAAGGAGCATAATATGTCCCCTTTAAATTGTGGGAAATCATTTCTCCTTTCCTTTCATAAAGGAAGGTCCAGTGTTTCCTATGCTAAAGGAGATAAGATAGGAAGCATTGAAGCTCCTTTCCTCATCATTTAGAGAAGTGAGCCAGCTGTGATCATGCTGCTGCTCAGAGACTTCAGCTCAGTTCATTCAGTTTGAAGCTTCCTAAGAAAAAAAGACTTTTTGACCACAGCCCAGGATTCTGTTTATGTAGCACTTTTTTAGTCTATCGACCACTCCGACCACACTTTAGTGTATGTCTCATTCACCCAGTTATACACTGATGTTGCAGCATCAGGAGCAGTGAGGGGTTCAGTGACTCTCTGAAGGAGGCGGGGAGCAAAACATTATTATTTTGAAAATGTAGTAGTAAGACTTCCTGGATCTCATTTTAGGCAGCATGGAAAAGACATTGCATAAGAAGTATTGTAAGATAGGAGGAAGTAAGAGACCGTGGCACACAAATAAACTGATCCAGATCACAGAGTAAACAAGTGTTACACACCTGCAGGACCATGAGTTTCATAACACACAACACCTGAGTGTTAGACCCACATAATGTGACTCAGATCTGTCACTTATACTACAGTCTGTGTCCGTGAAGTGATATTTGACAAATATATTAATATATACAGTATAATGATTTGTTAAACTTCTCTTACTCTTGGCTGCAACTGAGCACACTGCAAAATAATTCTTCTAATCAATGGGTTGAATGTTTTTTTTAACATTTTACATAATATAAGGTTACACTCCTTTGACCATGAGGAGTTAGAGTGCAGGCCTCAGGGTGGAGGTGACACACAATTACATCACCATTGACAATGATTTCCTGCCAGTGCTGATATTTACGTTTAGCAGCAAAGCAGGTCACACATGGATCTTACACTTAGCTAAAGGTAAATCACTTCAGCCACGCAGGATATTAAGTTTTTAATTTTAGGTTTGTAGCTGAACAAACTTAAACTTACTAATACAATACTGTGTCATTACTAAAAACATAGGTTATTAGTAAGCATATATATATATATATATATATATACTGTATATATATATATACATATATACAAATGTATACACACACATATAAGTATATATATAAGAACCCTCTTGTGGGACACTGGACACTTGTTGTGTTGTAACATTGCTATACATTATACTGTATTAATGTGTATTCTTTTCACCCTTTGTTATTCAGTAATAAGTAATTATTTAACTTGTATACAGACGCTAAATGCATTTTGTAATGTCCACCTCCAGCATCTCTCAGAGTAAAAAGATCAAAGTTTCATCCCTCCAACACTTGTGAACTAACTCACCAAAGAGTGACAGGACGCCGCAGGCAATCCACACTATCAGGGACATTCCTATACTGCCTGAGTGTTTCAGGATGCCCTTTGGAGAGATGAAGATCCCGGCCCCAATGATGGTCCCAATGATGATGGAGATCCCTCGGAGCAGGGTCACCTTCTTCCCCAGTCCCACCTTCCTGTCGTCCTCATCTTGCAGTTTCCCAGTGGGATCTGATTGAGTCCCATTCTGGGAAAATTTGTGTCGATTTCCATCTTTGTGAGTAGATGTGGACCTTTTGGTCATCTTTTAAAACACTGCTTAACACACACACACTCACTTTATTTATTGGACTATGGACTGTAGTGGTCCAGCTTCACCCACTCTGTGATATATATATGCAGGCAAAGTTGCAAAAGTAGGAGTAACACTAAATTCCACGGAGGAAACCTCCTCACTCTCTCTCTCTCTCTCTCTCTCTCTTACTCTCTCTCTCTCTATCTCTCTCTCACTCTCTCTCTTATTGTCATTCATGCTTTGCTCACCACTCGCTCTCTCTGTACAGCCCCCACTGCCTGCTCCGTACCTCTCTGACTTCACCAAACTTTTTTTCTCTTGTTCCTCTATCTCCTTCACTCTTGTCAGTATTGCTGTCTCATCCTGTCTGGTTTTCTGTAGTCCCTCCCTCCCTCTCTGTTTCTGTCAAGCCTTTTATCTGGAGCTCTACCTCTCCTCTAAAACCAGCTGAGCCTCACTGAGGTGAGGTGTCGTGCTCCTTCGTACAAGTAACCATGACGCAGCAGTAATCATATCTGTTTTCAAAGCCAACTCACCTAATTCCAGGTCTCAGTTCTCAGTTCCCTCTCCAGTTTCTCTTTTGTCTGTTTTTCACTTTCAAAATCTGGGTTTTTCTGACACAGCTCGGATATTACTTACATAATAACCAAAGCTGTATAATTAATGATAGTTTCATCCATGGCAACCAGTAGGAATAAGTTCTGTATTGGGGTGTGGTACAGTGTGTTAAAGGAACAGAAACTAGGGAAGTGTTGGCAAACCCTCCAGGGTTGATCTAGTTGGAACAGGTCGACTACATACACACACACACACACACACACACACACACACACACACACACACACACACACAGCTCAAAATGCTTATCAAAGTGACAACATACTGACACAATGAAGAAAAAGAATCCCATGAAAAGAGTAAAAACAACAGTGTGTTAGTCTGAGACTTCTGTGGCTCTCAGCTCTGAACCCATTGGTCCCTTCTAATGACTTAAATCTTTAAAAAGATAAAAAATATATGGTTCCTTAAAGAGCTGGACACTGTTTTTTCCTCCAATAGCAGGATTTGTCAGGGACTATTTTCAGCAGCAGATTAAAGGTAACCTGTATAGTTTTCTTACATTTACATTCAGGGTTAGTCACAACAACAAATTTTATCATTGAGGTCTGACAAACTTCACTTACAAACCAATGACAGTCTCATAAGCACAGATTCAGACAGCCAGGGGTTCATATGTCACAAACCTAAGGAACCAATCCTGTCAACTTGTGGGGGTGAGGGGTGGGGCTAAATAAACCTGAAACCTTGTCAGTGAGAGAGAGAGTTAGCATTAGCACAACCACTAACACTGTGTCAGCCACTGCCAGTTACAAGCTAACAAACAGCATAAACAAATAAAAGATGTTAACTGTGATAATTGTTCTGATCCGCCTGCTAGTCTCTGGTTCTGGTCTCAGACTCCTCCTCTGAGTCTGGGTCTGACTGAGGCTCAAACATGTGGCTGAGTCTCTCTGATGTTTCCTCCTCTAAGCATCTTGATCCTCTCTGCTCTTTCACCTGTCCACCTGGACGGAGCAGGTGGTGGGTGTGGCGTATGACCTGATCCAGATTTATTAATCAGGAAGTAAGAGCAGTAGATTTTTATTTTTATTTTTATTATTTTTTCACTTTTATGTGTGAAAAACATGTTCACCGAAATATGAATCATAGCAGGGGATTTTTACAGAGTTTAAAACATGTCTAGAGAGGAACTTGAAGACAACTGGTTAGAGTGATTATAAGATAATGAACAGGAGGTGAAAGCATAAAAAATATATTTATGCTACACAAACCTTCTTCCTTCAAAAGAATTTGAAAGGAATTCTTTTGCATTTTTGCCTTTAATTTGATAGCCGCTGCGAGAGAGAGACAGGAAAGCTAGGAAAGAGAGAGGGGGGACGACAGCAGCAAAGGGCCACATGTCAGATCCGAACCCCGGCCGCCGCGGTCAGGACCAACCCCCCTTGAAAATAATCAATAATGGATCTCAACCAGAAGACGTCAGCCAGTGTCAGCTTCATTTGAAGATCTTGCAGGCTAAAAGGTTTGGGAACCAAAGCAGCAGACTACCAACATGTGTTTCACCTCCCTTACAGAAAAAACGCATGAATTTTACATATGGATACATGTGAAATTTAACATGTCAAAAGATGTTAATTTTCCAATGTGAAATGTGTGGAACACGTGCTGGCACAAATTACACCATATCCATGGTGTAATGTGTGAAGCCTGTGTAAATTCCCATGTGAAACCCATACACCAAACTATGTAAAACCCCTGGGATTACCATGTGAAACCTATGCACATAGTTTGTTGTTTTTCAGTTCTTACATTACTGCACTTGTTGAAAATGTTATGGTGAAACTTTGATAAATCTGCAGTATTTGTGTGAAAACTACAATGAAAACTGGATAAACATGTCAAGTTGTGACAGAACCTCTGACAGACCAACACAGCCAGTGACATGTGCAACTCACTAATGTCACACAATCCTGCCAGATAGATCATCACTATTCAAAAGAAGTTATCTGGGGACATGACTGGACATGACATGTTTTTCACTTTTTTCTGACATTTAATGACTAAATGACAATCAGCAGATTGATTACCTACGTCCAGTTTAACTTCAAAATACCTTTAACATAGACACAGGAGTTGATACTTGTGTATACGTTCATGACTCCAGGAATTTACCGTTTGCATCTGCTGTCAGCAGTTTGTGCCAGAGTGCATCACTCCAGACAGACTGACAGGGGTTTCACAAGGGGAGTTTAAAAACCACAGCACAGCCACAGTGCTGCACTGGATGACGTGTACCTTTATTACCACGAACACACACAATGTAGTTTATTGTGACTCAACCCCACACACACTGTCCTGCTGCCCCAAATACTCACTACATCACCGAAGATGGATTAATCCGCCACTGAAAATAGTTTCCAACAAAGTGTTTGCTAAAATTTATTACTTACTATAGATTAGCTTTATCCATTAAACATTAGTCACAAATACATAAAGCATTTTCCTCAAACTGTTTAGGTTACTCCAGACTTCTCCTTTAGATGATCACTTCAACCACAATCACACAATTACACTTTTTTCTCTCCTGCGCCTGTGATGGTTGTCGTCTTTAGAAAGAGGAAGAGGAAAAAGGAAGCCTGCTGTAAAATGGATACAATAAAAATAACATTGATGGAGTCTATGCATTCTGACACAAACTGCTGACAGCAGATGTAAACGACAAAATACTGGAAACAGTCATGAACATTTACACAAGTATCAACTTGTGTCTTTGTTAAAGGTATTTTGAAGCTTAACTGGAGTTAGATTCATTCATAGTTTTTTTTTTTAACTTTTTTATTTTTATTACTTTGGGCTACATCTAGTAATTACCTTCATTATCAAATAGTCTGCTGATTATCATTTGATCAGAAAATGTCAGAAAATAGCTAAAAACATCCGCCACAGTTTCCCCCAGCCCAAAGTCATGTCTTCAGACAACTTGTTTTGAATAGTGATGATCTATCTGGCATGTTATCCAGTTTTAGGCCACATGTCTACATCCTGGCTCTTTTACCCATGTCTTTTAACAAGGTGTAAGATTTCAGCCATCTACAGTTTTCAAGTTATAAGTAGTTTAAGTTGGCTGTCAGGCGAATGTATCTGCTACTAATGCTACTACTGCTGATACGAGGATTAATACCATCTTTAGCTATGAAACTACACTGTGACTGTGCCTGTTTCCTCCTGCTCAACATTTAACCATCAGCTGTCCTGGGCTCAAGTGGCGGCCCATGGTCGCAGGAGTGACTCGGCGGGCAGATGACGGTTTTGGTCCATCCAGTTGACACGCCCCAGCACTCCTTCATCCTGAACCCTGTCCGAAAATGGCATCTATGACACTGTGGCTTCCACTTCACTGGTGACTTTGAGGCCAAATAAACAGTCCTCATCATGACCTCATCTCATGGTAAGATGCAAGATGCTGTGCACAGATGATCTACATGTCTTCCTTGGGGAATCCTTCCTCCATGTCTGCGGTTGTTCCCTCGTCACATCACTCACCTGCTCAGACAACGTACCCTCAGTTGGTGACTTCAGTGCACGGTACGGAAGCAGATTGTGCACCCTCCTGCCATGGAGGCCCTCAGTCGTCATCACTCCCTATTAATCTGGATAAGCTCACTTCCCTCCTCTACCAGACAAGTTTATGTGGGGACAAACAGAGCTGCTCGTCAGCAGTCTGAGCTCACCAAAAAAGATTGAACAACCTTTGTGGAAAGTCTGTTTAATTCTGGTCCTATCCTGACTCTGGCCCATGGAGCAGAGCATTTTAACAGAATCCTCAGTCTCCACAGCTGGCTCCAGTCCACCTGTCCAGCTCACAATATAGATTCTATCGACAATTTTAATGCTCCCTCCACCATCTGCAGCTGCTGCTAGACTTATTACCGGGATAAACATGAGCACATCACACCTCTATATGCATCTGTATTCTGCCCCCCTGTTAGATTACGTATTGATTTTGAAAATGTATTGCTCACCTTTAAGGCCTTAAACAGCCTTACTACACCTTTTTTCTTAACATGGCATCACTGAGATCTGCTGATGGAGCCCTCAGACTCACACACTCACACATGCTAAGTCTTTAGCCTCTTTTAAATCCTCTCTCAAAGTTTTCTTTTTGTGAAAGTTTTTGGCATTGTTTGACAAAGGTTGTTACTTGTACTGATTATTCCTGTTTGCTTGAGCTTAGTCATTTTATTGTTTTTACTCCCTCTTTGCTCATGTTCTTATTCTCATTTTACTTGTCTGGTTTTTATTTCTCTTGTAAAGCACTTTTTAACATTGTTAAGAAAAGTGCTGTATAAATAGAGTTTATTATTTTATCCATCCATCCATCTATCTATAAATGACTCAGAAGAATATCTACTCGGTTGGTTATAACACCAGAAATTTGGAAGAACTGTTGAAGTATAGCAAATTAAAATATTTACTTTTGATTTAGGTGGAAAAGTTGGTGCTTGAATAAAAGCAAGATACAATAAAACAGCAACAGAAACAGACTTAGTGACTAAATCATGTCCTTCATGAAGCCTGTGATTGAAATGTCAATTGAAGCATTGAGCTTTGATTGCACCCACAGAGGCAGGTCTCAGGTGGACAGCCAAACCTTTTGTCCAGGGAGGTAGTGAATGAATGTCTGGACGGAGGGCACACTGATTTCTTTATCTTGGTTTGGGAACCTGGTACAGGTAAGCGCACTGGTGGAGGAGCTGCTTGGACCAGAAGTC